AAAAGCTTTACTTTACTATAAAGTCTGGTGACGTCACACAAACTTGGCACCCTCTTCTCCTTCTCCTCAAACATTCTCAAACAATTTTCTTTAGTACAGGCTGTCTTTTAAAGAAAAAAATATTTAATAGTTTGTTTGGATGTTCCCCCTTCCCTCTCCCCCCCCCCTTCCCCCCTCTCCCTCCACCCCCATTACTTTTCATCTTTCCTTTCCTCTCTAAAAAAGTTGGTCTCTTTTTAAATAAATATTTGTTAAAGTTAAATATTTGCTTAAATCATCGTTCACAAACGTGCGCAAGATTTGTGACGTAAAAATAAGGGTTGATATTTACCGTGACTTATTTTTTGTTTGCATGATGGCCTAGCAATACTAATAAATAATTTTAAGGAGGGAATATAATAATTGACTTAGTCTTTAATAAAAAAAAATTTTTTGTGTCTTCCTTCGTGACTAGGGGTATTATTTAATTATTTAAAAGGATTTTAGAATTGTTAATTATCTATCAAAATCTTTAATTCTAATATTTAGTTAAACAATTCAAGGCTGACAATCCTCCTCTCATTTTTTAAAGTTTATTTTACCTAGTGTAGTTTATATTTTTCCTTAGTTTATTAACATTTACTTGACAAACGGTTAATTATTATTTAAATTAATATATTAGGGATTTGATTATTAAAAAAATATTTGGATTATTTTTATAGGCAACTAATAAATATATTTATTTAATTTAATAATATATCTTTAAAAACTCTTTAAAATCTTTTTAAATATTTCAATTATAATCCTTTAATTACGTAAAATATTTAATTGACTCTTTTGCTAGTCTTCTTTAATAAAAAAAGGAGAGAATTAAAAAAAAATGGCACAGATTTTAGAGCATTAGCAATTTAACGATATTTAATAAAAAATGGAAACCTAAAATTATAAAAATTTTATACTGATAAATTTTTACTGATTTCTAAAAAGTTTAGAATTTTTTAGCCCAAATATTTTTAGAATAGTGAAGATTCTCCGCTCTTTCTCATAAATTTCAATGAGTTATGTAATAGTTTTGAATTATTCTGCTCAAAATTTTCATTGCTGTACTTTAACTTTTCTTATTGACATCCTAGGCCTTAACAACTAAATAGGGATTTAATTTGTTTTTATTTTCTTTAAGAAATTAATATATTCATCTAATTGTTTATGGCTTCCAACATTTTCTTTAAATTCTTTATTTATTTTTAAGTTTTAATTCATTGGAAGATTAGATGAAGATATGTGTACTATTAAATAGTAGTTGTTTAAAATATTTTTATTATTTAACTACCTTTAACAGGAACAATTCGAAAAATATTTTGGAAAGTTCTCTACTCGCCCAGTACTTCTACTCGCTATAAGGGTTGGCGGATCCTGGGAAATCCCTGAATAATGAATCCTCCAACTGTACTTGGTACCGAAAAAAGCCATTTTGCCTAACAGTAAAATAAATTAAAAAATAAATTATATAGATAGTTAATTCTACACTTTTAAATACCAAACTCCGATTAGAATTTCAGATAACCTTTTAAATATTATACAGTGCGGTGCATATGTTTACAAACACTAGAAAATTTTTTCTAAATTTTTAATTTTTTATTCAAAATATACGTTCAATATAGCAATCGAAAGCTCTATTCGTATTTCAGTTGACATGTTTCTGCATTTTTCATGAAAATGAAAATTGGCCGAGATAATCCGGATCTACCGGATATACCAAATCGCATAGCCTCGGAAAAAATTTTCGGAAAAAATTTAACAAACCCATTTGATAAAGCATATTTTTGTGAGTATTTACCACAAAGCCGCTTAAAAATATCTTTATCCGGTCCAGAGACCGGAATAGTTTTTGTCAACTATTATTTTTTTAAAAGAATCCTCTCTCTTCCTTTTATTTTTTCTTTTTTTCTTTTAACATCTAAAACGATTTTCGTCCAATTTTTTTGATTAACTTTATTATATTTTTTATATTAAAAATTATTATTATTTGCTTGTTTATGTCCAAAAAGCTCTTCCCTTCCCCTTCTTTTTTCCATTTTTTCTTTTTTATTTTTCTCATCTTTCTTTCCCAATTTGTCCAGCTGCCACTAAATTTTTTTCCTTTTTTTTCTATCGATTTCCCCTTACCTACAATTTTACCTCAATTCTCCCATTATTTCTCTGAGAGTGTTTTTATTATTTTTTTATTAAATAACAAATTAAATAAATAAATATTTTTATTTTTTTAAAATTTAATTCAAGTTTTTTAATATTTTTTCTACAAAAAATTAACCATAAAAAAGGTTGGAAATTAATTTTTGGAGAAATTAGGGAATAATAAATTATAATTCCTCTCACGTGTTTTTAATTAAAAATAATTTTATAATAAATTATTATTCTTTAATTATTTTTTTTAAATAATTTAAAGAAATATTTAATAGAAAAATAAATTTAGAAAATTTTTAATTGTTTTTTTATCTCAACTGACTTTGGAAAACAATAAATAAAAAGGAGAGAAAAAGTGGGAATTCAAAAATTTTTATTCATAAATTAGGGCAATTTCTCCTTTTATGAAGTGACATTAATTTTTAGTTGTGCTAGTTAAAATAATAATTCTCGAAATTAAAAATTCCTTTTGGGATTCGGGATGTTTAATAGAAATATTTATCGATGAGGAAATCTTTTTAATTGTAGTCTAACCGCAAAAAATGTTAGACAGAAGATTTAATGTTTAAGCAGAAATGGAGAACCGAAACTAAAAAACCCCTAAATTTCTAAATAATCCCTAAAGTAATTTACCGTATTTTCCCAATAAAGCCCCACTCACTAATACAGCCCTACGTTTGAAGATAGTTGAAAAATAGAGCCACACTTTCAATTAGAGCTCCATTCCCTAATACAACCCCAGTCCGGAGAACTGTTGAAAACTATAGCTCCATGGGGCTGTATTTGAACAAATACAGTATATACATATAATATACTCTTATTTATTTTTTAAATAAACTTCCATAATTAAACTTTCATATACCTCGACGGAGAATTAATTTCCCGAAAAAGTAACTAACTATTAGCTTATAATCTCTCTCAATTTCCGAGATGGACTTTAAGTTAGGTATTTAATTTGTTTTTTTTCTTTAAATTATTTTTTCCGACTGTCAAATAAATGAAATTACTTCAAATAAATATTACTCTTTTCTCGCTATATTTAAATAGGAAATGTTTATAAAAACAAAAACAAACAATAACAACTTTAAAAACAAATTAAGCGATCTCTTTAAAAGAACACAATTTTTATTTTTTATTTATTTTTTCGGAAATGTTTATTTGAATATTTAAATATGGGAGGAATTACTTTTTTATTTTTTAGTACTTTTATAGAAAAACTAGTTATTTTTTAACATTTATTTTTTTTGTAAATTTTTTCTAAAAACATTTTTTTATTTTTATTGGGTTAAAATAATGCGCGAGGAAAGTTCTTTTCTCTTTTACTTTCGCAAAAGTCCTATAAAAATTGTTTTTGGGAGGAATAATTAAATAAATAATCTGGCTCTCTATTTAGGACATTATTAGGACCGAATTGGGTTGACATTGAATGGAAGAAGCGAGGGGGATTTTGGCAACTTTACAGGAACCCCAAACAATATAATTAGGGCTGCCGTTTTTGAATCGGGCCGTACGAGTCTTTTTCTGGCCAGATATTTTAGGCCCGACTCGATCTTTCGGCCCGAGTCGGTCCATTTTAGCAACCCTAAATATAATTTTAATTTCGAAAAATTTTTTTATTTTTTATTTAACATACATACATATTTAATTTAGCTATTTAAAAGGTACTTCCTTCCTTCCTTTCTCCCTTATTTTTTTAATTTTCCCATAATTTATTTTTAACTCATTTTAAATTACAAATTTCCTTTTCCGGGGCAAGTACTCTTCCTTGTTAACAAATAAAAAAATACTTAAATTATATATCCGCGCATTTTGTAATTTTAAAGGAAATATATTGACGGAAATAGAAAGTATACATATTACAAGGATATACTTTCTTTGTAAAAAATTTTTCTCACAATTTTTATTCTTTTTTCTAAATATTGGGTTATTTCTTGGCGCCATAAAACTCTTAATTAATCTCCTATTAAATTAATAATTTCCAAGAATATTTTTAAAGAAATCTAGTATTTTTTAGGTTTATCAGAAAAATATTTAAAAGAATTCTAACAATCTTTCAATTAATCCCCACGCCGTAATATATCCTTACAAAAGTGTAAAAAGCTTTCCCAATAAATTAAATACATATTCTTTTACCTTTTACACATGTTTATGATTTCCCGCTTTTGTGTTTGGCAATAATTTCTTCTTTTTTGTTTTAATCTTCCCTTTCCGTTAACTTTTAAAATTAATTTTTGGAAAGGATTTTGGGAAAGAGAAAAAAATATTTGAATATTTCAATAAAGGATTATAAAAAGAGATGGATTGACTTTTTATTTAGTTAAAATGGATATTTTAAATATTTTTTATAGAGATTAAGATTTTTGAAAAAAAAAAATAATTTTTTTAATTAAATATTTTTTTAAATCCCTTAAAATTTAAAATTTTTTAAATTATTTTCTAAATTTTTTATATTTATTTTTAATAAATATGTTAATGTTTTTTCTTTAATTTTTGATACACCTGTCAATTAATTAAAATAATGAGAAAAAATATTTTTAAAAATATATTTTGAATATATTTTTTTCAATAAAAAATAAAAAAATAACATTTTTTGGCCCTTCTCCAAATTATACGTCAACCTTTTACGCCCAGTAAAAATTTTTTAGCCCAATAATGAGTTTAATTAATAATTTAGGTTTTTTGATTAGACTTTAGAGATTTATTTGGGCTTATAAACTTTTTATCGGATTTTATACAGGTGTTAAAAACTGTATAAGAGTCAAGAGCAAGAGCTAATTTTTTATTTTTTACAAGAACCCCAATTTTTTATTTTTGTATTTAATTTTTTTATTTTTTAGACATCCAAACCCCGCGTTTCAAATATTACATTTTCTACAGTAACTTCAGCTACTGGTTTGCCAACTATTGCTGCCGAACCTTCTAGGCCACGTTCTAGCAGGTAAATAATCTTCAAACAGTTAAATCCATTTAATACATCTTCCCAATCCCCCATCACTTTCGTTTATTTCGATTTTAAGGGAAATTTATTTTAGAAGGATTCCACCTGTACTTTTCTAAAAAGTATAAATTAAGTAAGAGTTTTTACAAATAAATTCTTTAAGGAACTAAAAGAAGTAGTTATTTTTACAAGCTTTTTAATCTTTTTTTTTGTATTAAAAACAAAATTTCTTTATTAACCTTTTATCTTTAACTTTAACCCAAATATATTTATTTCCTTTTTATTATTTTTTACTTCCTTCTTTTTAACTACAAAACTTGTTTTATTTTTATTTTTTTAATTTTTATACTACAAAAATTTAAGTATATTTATTCATTTACTTATGGTGAATGAAAGGAATAAAACTTGTAAAAATACAAAAATTACATAAAATTTTTTAATTAAAAAATTTTTTTATTTCCTCGAAAACTTTCCGAATCCGTATATAAATAAAGTGTATTTTTTAATTAAAAAAAAATAATTTTCGATGTTTAATAGTTAATCTTTTTTCTAAAAAAATATTTTAGCAAAAGAATTAATTATTAACTTCCTGATTTTTTAAAAATTAATAAACCAAAATTAGAATTTAATAAAAAAAATCCATTAATTCTTTTTTAGTTATTGGAAAGCTTTACCTTCAAATTTAGAAGAAAATCACCAACATCACCAACAACAATCCCCCCAACTCTCACCAACAAACACCACAAATCCCTTCATTATTTCCCCAACCTCAACTTCCTCTTTTTGTCGTCACAAACAATTAATTTCTTCTTCTGATGTCCCCAAATTAAAAGAAATTAAAGAAAATAATCAAAAACAGTCCTCCTCTTCTTCTTCCTCCTCCTTTTCTTCTTCAGAAATTAATCAAACAAAAGTGGCTGAAAAGCCTTTTTTATTTAAATCAACGTCTGCAGACAATAATAATAGAGGAGGAATTGAAATGACTGGTTAGCTATATTTTTGAAATTAATTTTTGGGGGTTGTTATAATAGTAGAGGATGGATGGTCTTTTTGAGTGAAATAACTGGGAGGTTTTATTGGATTAAATATTAAATTTTATGTTCCATTTTATGTTGATAGGGAATTTATGATGGTCTGTCTTTCAATAACACCTCACAATACTCAGTTGCTTTTCTCAATACAATCTTATTAAATTTGGTCTTTTTCCAAGACCTTATTATCTATGTATGTATTATAACTCCTACCACTTTTCCATCTCTTGGAGTTAAGTATAACGAAAATCAACAATAATTCCATTATCAATCAGTCAGACACCCCTTAATTTTAATTAAATTTTAAAACAAATTAAATTGTTTTTAAATTTACTAAAAAGATTTCCATTCAGCAAACTGATTAAAAATCATGGATGTTGTCATGGAAAAGCAACATCCTTTACATTTATTAATTCATTTAAATTCTAAAATTTTTCTTATTAAAAAAATTTTTTAAGGCCAACCAAAAGATGTTAGCCCCTCCACATCCGGCACTACACAAAAATTATCTAATTCTAGCAGTCCAACTACAACAACAAAAAAACAACCAAAAAAGGCATCTAAAACTTCAAACGAATCTTTAGATAAACTTTCAAAAGATTCTGAATGTCAAAAGCAACCAATCTCTTCGAGGTAAATAAACAAATATTTTTTGGTTTAGTTAATTTTTTTAATTTATTTTCCTTTGATTTTATTCATTTTTTAAATTTATTAATTAAATTTAAGCTGGGGGAATACATATATTCGTTATTTCCCCAAAATTCGGAAAAATTTTTTCGGAAAATAATTCGGGAAAAAATAATTCGGATAATCAAGAATCTAAAGATCCTAACAAAAATCTTCATTCCCCACTGAATTTTTTATTCACGACGCTTTTCATTTACATCTTTCAGAACTTCAAATAAATAATTTAAAACTAAAAATAAAATAATTTTTTAAGAAAATTAAAAGAAAAAAATGTGCAAGAAGAAGGACAGAAAATATTCAAAACTTCGGACGGAACAATTTACGAACTTAATGAACTAGAATCTAAATGTTCAGTATTAGGTCAACAATTACAAGAATGGAGTTTTCCTATTTTTAATTTTGCTGATAAATATAAAAATACTGTTCTCTCTAGGGTAATTTAATTGAATTTAAGAATAATTACTATAATAATTTTTTTAAAGTTAACCTTTGCAATATTTAAAGAAGCTGATTTATTTAAAACATTCAAGATCTCTTATTCTAAATTCTTCAATTTTTTCCATGCTTTAGAATCTGGTTATTGGGATATTCCCTGTTTGTTTTAATTTTAAAATAATATTCCCCCCCCCCTATAGATGTTAGAAATTAAGCAGAAGTTTATTACTCTATTTCCTTTTTTCTAGATATAGGTTGGCGGATAGTTGGAAATCTTCGGATATCCGTATCCGGATCTGCCAACCTTACCGCCCAAGCTTTTAAATGCTAGTCAGTTTAATATTATTCCTTTCCTTACAAGTATTAGTAGATCCTACTCTCTCGATCCTCTCAAAGAAATTGTTTGTGGAGCCGTTTTGATGGCTAACAAAATTTTTTTCGGAAACAAAGCCTAATTACTTGATTTAAAATAACTTTTTGCTTAAAATTGGATCAGAAGGGATCCAAATAAATATTTAGGGAAAATTGGAATGATCCCCTTTTACATTCAAAGCTTTTTAGAGTGTTAAAAAATTTTGTAATGCAGATTAATATTAAATCTAAATTTATGAAAAGCCTTAATATTTTATCAAATTACTAATTTTAATTATTTAAATTAAAAGATCACAACCAAATTCACGCTGCTGATGTTTTACATGGCTGTTTTTATTTAACCTGCCATTCAGTACATGCATTTTATGATTATCACCAATCTTTAGAAGAGGTCGACGATGAAGGAGAGGAAATTGAAGAATTATCTAAATATTCGAATAATTGGGAGGAAATGTCTAAAAGACATCAACAACAACAACAATTATTTAATAATAACAATTCTGTTGAATCAACAGCTATTCCTTTGTCACAAAGCATGAGTGCCTTGGAAGTAATTTATTAAAACTTTCTTCTTAGTCAGATCTAACTATAAAATTCATTCTTGGAATTGAAAAAATCGTAGCAAGTTGAATCCTTAATGGGGGGAAAGGGCATTTAGTTAACTCTCCCACCTATTTTCGTGCCAGATTTATCTGAGTGGATAACTAATTCTGTTGATATCTTCTACTGAAGTCAAACTCTATATTTTACTTTTTCAGTTAATGGCCCTTTACTCAGCTGCAGCAATGCACGATTATGACCATCCAGGTAGAACTAATGCTTTCCTAGTTGCTTCAGAAGATAAAAAAGTATATTTTTTTTGAATTTGTGGATTAAATGTCTTTATTTTAATTTTTAGGCAATTCTCTACAATGATCGGTCTGTACTAGAAAATCATCATGCTGCTGAGTCATGGAAACTTTTGACTTCTCAATCGAGTTATAATTTTATTGAAAATTTAGATTCTGCTGAAACAAAACGTTTTCGGTAGGAATTTTGATTTTTTACTAAAATTATTTGAAATATTTTGGAAAATTATACATATAAGATACACCCAACTGTCTACTTAAACTTATGGAGTATTGGGAGTATATATTGTGAGTATCACTATTAACTTTTTTCCGTTCTATGTCGGACCTTCCTTATAAATACACCCAATATCAATACCCACTTCAAGAGGTTGGCCACTGGTTGTGGGAAGTTGCCTAAGCGATGATACCCTTTATTTAAGTTACCCCTCATCATAACCTCGAAGTGTCAATAGCGAGGTCTGCCCAGGCTTTTTGAACAAAAATCATTTTATTATCCTTCCTTGTTTTAACCTTTTTTCCTTTCCTTTCAGTTATTTAGTATTAGAATATATTCTTGCAACAGATTTAAAACAACATTTTGATATTATTGTTCAATTTAATGAAAGAGCACCTTCTATGGATTTGTCTAATGAATCTGATAGAATGTTAATTTCTTTAATGATTATTAAATTTGCTGATATTAATTCCCCGGCAAAACCTTTTTCTTTACATAAACAATGGACTGAGAGAATTTGTCAAGAATTTTATGAGCAGGTATTTAAATTGTTTAAATTGTTTAATTACCTAGTTAATTAATTAGGCACCTAGAATTTTTTTTGACATTTTTATTGGAAATTATTTTTTTAGAATTTTTTTAATTTGACAAAAAAAAATTTTAGGGAGACGAAGAAAGGCTTAGAAATATGGCAATAAGTCCATATATGGATAGAAGCGAACCGGCAGTTGCCAAACTTCAAGATTCATTCATTGCCCATATTGTCAATCCTTTAGCTATTGCTTTAAATGAAGCTAATTTATTGCCTATACTTCCTGGGCTTCCAGAATCTGGTAAATTTAATGAGAAATAATTAAAAATAATTAAAAATTAATTTTAGAATTAATAATCAATCTGACGCATAATCATCAAAAATGGCTTAATCAGATTGAATTTGATCAGAAATTTTGTAGGGAAGGTGAAGACGGAGAAGGAAATACTTTGGAAAAGAACAAAACAAATATTTCTAGGTAGATAAAGGGGTTTTTGAGTTTGGACCTTAAAAACTGCTGGGAGGATGTCAGAATATTATTGGGCCATACATGAAAATTTTTTGACACCATTTGACTCAGCTAGTCAAGAGTATGCCGACTCCTATAATAATCTAGATCTGGGGATATTTTAATCATCCGCAGGTTCTGCATTCTGTACACAGAACACAGATTCTGTGGAAATTCTGTTTCAATTTAATTCTGTGCTGCCCGCAGATTCTATGGACAATTAAAATAGGCCCTTATTATAATTTCTGCAATAATTATAATCCCTAGTTAAAATCCCGCAGTAGACAAAACTGAGGAGCTATTTAAAATTGCCAGGATAAGCTATAACAAAGGAAATTTTAGAAAAAGCTGGGGCATTTAAAACAATTTTTAGTTAGTACAAAGATAATGAAAGGATTTTTTGTTGATCCCCCAGTTCAGTATTTCAAATAAAGAATATTTTTTAAAGATACTCAGAACCTCCTTTCAATACAAAACAACAATCAAATAATAATAATTTAATTAATAATCAAAATAATTCCTCAATTCATTCTTCTTCCCCTTCATTATCCTCTTCAAATAAAAATATTTCAAATAATGAAGAATTGAAAAATACAAAAAATGGACATAATCAACAATTAAATAATCAAGATATTATTTCTAATAAAACAACAAAAAATCCCCCTTCAAATTTAGTTTTTAATAAAACAACAAAAACAAAATTAGGGGTTTGTTTTTAAATTCTTGCGGATTTTATTTATTATAAATTGTGTATTAGGAGGATAATTAGGTGGTTCCTTTTCCTTTTTTTCTACCAAAAGTACTCATTAATTTTTGTTCAATATAAAATACAACCCCTTAATGTTAAAAGTAGACTCTCAACCAGTGGTTGGAATTTTGAAATTTGCTCACACTCGTACCTGTCCATTTTTTGCTCGTACTCGTACTTCGTTCACAGGTACGAGTATTGGGGTACAAGCTTCCAAACACTGCTCTTAACTAGAGTTGATGGATCCTTGGATCTTCGGATAATCCTGTCTTTTTCCGGATACCTGGGATTCGCCTATCTTTTATCTTCAACTAAAAAAATTTTCGTCTTTTCAAATTAAAAAATACAAACTTTATTTTCCTTTCTTTTTCTACCTATCATTTAGTTTTTCTTTAAAATTTTTCTTTTTTTCAGTTATAAAAAATGCCGTTTCTCAACAATAAATACACACAAAGTGCCTACTACTACAACATTTGTTTTTCTTCTTTTAACCTTCTTTTCTCTTCTTTACCTTTTTACAACTTTTTCATATTTTTGCGAGGCATGAGGAATTTTTTAAAATTTTTATTTTATTAATTAAAAAGGCAATTGATATTTTTATTATTTTTTTAGAATCGAGTTTATATTTATTTTTGTGACCTCAAAATTTAATTAACCCTTTATTAACACTTTTTCTGTAATTATTTATTCGATACCTATAACTTTAGAATATGTTTTTGCCATTTTTGTTTTTATAAAACTAAATTTTACACGAGAGTATGCATCGAATACACGAGAGTATGCATCGAATAAATAATTTTTTTCTTTTGTTTTTTAAAAGGGTATTTCAATCATTTTTCCAAATTTTAATTTTGAAAAATCAAAATCTTTACTTGGTTAATAAAAATATTTAAAATTAATCGGTTGGATTACCCTAAATTAAAGTTTTTTTTATTTGCCTTTATTTTTGTTTCCACAAAAGAATGAGTAATAAATTATTTTACTTATTCAAAATCAGTGTTTCGAAAATTCTATTTTCCTCCTCACTATTTCTGCTACCGTGCCCGCTCAAAGGATAGATGAATCAAAGGATAGATACGGCTAAAATCGATCAAAGGATAGACGCGGCCAAAATCTGCTAAAGGATAGATAAGGGAAAAAACGATTAAAGGATAGATGCATCAAAGGATAGATGCGCCAAAGGATAGATAGGGGTAAAATCCATTAAAGTATAGACACGACTAAAATTGGGTAAAACATAGATAAAGTTTGGAGTCCAGTTGAGTACCAACTGTTGAGTGCCTGATCTTTGTTTGTTTTTTCTGATCTTTGTTCTGAGTTCATGTTTCTGTTCTGATTTTTATTTTATTCGTACTTTAGTATATTCGCGAAAAAAGTTTTTGCCGCTGCGGAGGAAGCCGGGCATGTCGAGCGGAACGACGGCAGCCGCTTCGCTACGGTCGCCGCGAGCGAAGCGAGCACGACCGCAGCGAAGCACGGCCATCGTGTAGCGAAGACCATGCCCGGCCTACCCTCCGTAGCAGCACAAAAACAGTTTTTCCAGGGAAGATTCAGATTGTTAAATATTTTTGTCCAGACTCAAACGACCTATTCAGCTGTCTATCCTTTGATCGCTTTTGGCTGTATCTATCCTTTAGCGCATCTATCCTTTGATGCATCTATCCTTTGATAGTTTTTGGGCGTATCTATCCTTTAGTGCATCTATCCTTTAATTCATCTATCCTTTGTAGGGGAGCCTTCTGCTACTTGTGTATACGAGACGAATTTTGGTACGACCTTCGAAACACTGTTCAAAATCTTTTTATTTTATTTTAAAGGCCTCTTGTACTTGAAATCTCAATTTCTCTATTTTTTTTCTTTTTTTTCCCTTTTAATTTTTCAAAAAATAAAATTTACTTTTTTTACAAAATTTGTTTTAAAATTTTAAATTAAAAAAATGATTATTTTTGATTATTTAATTTTAAAATTTTTTAGCGTCCACTTGTAATTTGTACAATACACGAAGGATGTAATACACCAGAGGATGTTTAATTAAATTTTTAGTTAATCATTTATGTATTTATTTTTAGTCTTTCAAAAACTTTATTTTTGTAAATAAAAATTAATTTCTCCAATAATTAACTTTTTAATTATAAAATTTAAATGAAATATACCTATATTTAATTGAAATACTCTTAATTTAATTATTTTAAAGTTTAAAATTGAAACAAAATTTTTAATTTCTCCATATAATTTAGTAAATTAAGTTCAAACTCCTAAAATTTTCGATGGAAAATTTTCTTTTACAACTGGAACATAAAAACCTGAAATCATTAGGGTCTTTTATCAATTACTTATTTTGTTAATATCCGGGCCCTCTTCTTTTTCTCCCCAATGTACAGGACAATTGAGATAGAAGAAGTAAGGAAAAAGTTTAACCATTCTGTACATAGGTATATAGAAAAAACTTATGGAGGGTAAAGGGGACCCGGAAATGACACTATTTATTAACCAGATTTTTGAATATCTTTTAGTCGCGATTAGAACTGTAAACACACTTAAGCAATCGCGATCAAACGGCCATCATTAAATAGAAACTGGACTGTTGAGTGCCGACCAGTTGAGTCTAGACTGTTGGCACTTTTCCATATTTAACTCTTAATCCGATAAGAGAAATCTTTTATCAGACTTTGTTCCTTTTCTAAATTCTTTATATATTTTAGTGAATAAAAATATAAATTATTTATTTAAATGGTCAACGTTCCAAAGGCTCGTAGAACTTTTTGTCCTGGCAAGTGCCGCAAACACACCGGGCATAAAGTAACGCAATACAAAAAAGGAAAAGAATCTAAGTTTGCGCAAGGTCGACGACGTTATGATAGCAAACAGAAAGGTTTTGGAGGACAGACTAAGCCAATTTTCCGCAAGAAGGCCAAAACTACAAAGAAAATTGTGTTGCGAATGGAGTGTGTTGAGGTTTGATTATTTATGTAATTTGGAAATTGAGATTTTTAAAATTGATTTTTTAATTCGCTAAACGGGGGTTGACTTTGGATATGTAAATCGGGAAACCCCCGATCAGGGAAATTCAGTATGTACAAAATATGCCTTGATTGGCCCTTTCCCGAAAGAAGGGTCGAATCGTTAAGTAAAAATCCACACATGCTTGACCAGGCTAAATTTCTGATTCAATCTGAATGAAAAACAGACCACCTTGTCTCGGAAGCAAGAGTTTTCCAGGCTTCTAGCTTCTTTGGTCTTTCCCCATTTGATTATTTTATTTTTTTAATTCTTTTTAATTTTAGTGTAAGCATCGCATTCAGAAAGCAATCAAACGCTGCAAGCACTTTGAATTGGGTGGACAAAAGAAGTCGAGAGGACAAGTTATTCAGTTTTAGATAAATTGCTGAATATTAATGTGTTGAAAATTGTTGTTATTTGATAAAAATATTAAAAAGAATACTTTATTGAGTTTTAAATTCATTATTTTTTAAATAATTATTTATTTTCTTTTTTATTTTAAATTAATTTCTAAATTGTTTTTGGATGGTTTTACCACTTTCTTTACTTAAAACTGCCCAAAATCATCCTATGCTAATTGAATTGAAAAATGGAGAAACTTATAATGGAATGTTAATTGCTTGTGATTCTTGGATGAATGTTCATTTACGGGATGCTATTTGTACTTCGAAGGTTTGGAATTTTAATTAAAGAATTGGTGTGTTGGTGGCCTTCCCTGGGTTTCAATTCTTCGGCCGAAAATTATACGGTTTTTCGCTTTTTCATTAGGCGATAAAATAACAATTTGGCCTATATTATTTAATAGATAAAATATCTAGGGTGGCCACACTTGAATGATTTGTGTGTTCATAGTTAGAAAATTCGTACAAATTAGAATTTTAATTGAGAGAGTTTTTAAGGCTTTCAATTTCTACTCCCTGGGAATTGTAGGAATCTGAACTTTGTTTCACACATTAGACCCATGGGTGTTAATTTTTGATTTTATTAATGAGAATCTTTTTTAGGAAGGCGACAAATTTATGAAAATTCCAGAGGTTTATGTTCGTGGTTCTACAATTAAATATTTACGTATTCCAGATGAGGTTTTCATTTTATTTTAATTATTTTTCTAAATTATAATTTTTTAAAGGTTGTTGAATTAGTAAAAGACGAAGTTAAAGAAGTTCGTAGACAACAGAAAGAGAATCGAACAATGAAAAGAAATTTCGCTAAAGGTGCAAGAGGAGGGGGAAGTGGTGGTGGAAGGCCGGGTGGAGGACCTAAATCTGGTGGAGGACAGAGAGGAGGAGGGCATCATCAACAGAGACGTTAATTGATTAATTGGCTATTTTTTGAAATAAAAATTTTGGTTTTTTATTTTTATTTGGATAAATTTAATGCCTATTTGAATAACAAATTGTGTATAAGCTTTTTAAGCACTATGTTACCTATAATTTATTTAAAAATTGGATTCAAACTAAAACCAACCAAAACTAAAAATTATTTTTGGTTTTAATAATTTTTAGAATTTCTTTTCACATTTTTCTATAATTTTATTTTGTCCTTTTTCAAATGGAAAATTCAAATAATTCATCTTTACCCCCACCAATTCCACAAAGGCCTCTTACGACTTTTTCTAATAATCAAAATTACCTACCATTTTTTAATCAAAATAATAATATTTCATATCCTTACCAAAGACAACAATATTTTCCAAATAGTTCTGGAATGTTTAATTAGTAAGTGAACTAATTTCGAAATTGGTTAGTTGATATAGTGGAATCTCAATAAGACAGAGTTAAGTCTCTTATCGTCCAGTTTGACCCCCTCCCCCCGTCTTATTGGAAGGGGCGTGTTTGTCGGTGGTCAAATCTCTCTAGAACTTCCCTCGTGGCCGAATTATATAGACAAATAACGAGAGAGAGTTGTCAAGATTCGACTGTTTTTCACTTTTATTTTTCTGTTTGAATATTAAGAGGATTTTTAAAAGTTACCAACAAACTCCCGATCCATATGGATTTTCAAGAATTAATAATTCTCAACCAATGACTACATATGAATTTCTTCGTACTGCAGAAGGTTTAAAGTTAATTCAAATGATTTTATAAAAAAATATTTTAGAATCAACAAGAGGTGCCTTTCAATCAATTGAACATGTTGCTAGTGCTTTCCTTTCTATTGCTAGCCTACTTAACTCTACATATGGAGCTGTGTTTAATTCATTTAGGGCCATAATCTCTGTGGTTGAACAACTTAAATCGCTCAAACATTTTGTTAGTTTTTTACAAATATTTGGTTAAAAAGAGGGGATTCCAGCATCATTGTATGTACTATCCTCACTCGTCCTAGACCGCTAGTAATAACCAGAGGTCGGTCGGAATTCCGATTTCCGAAAATTTAGGCTGATTTCCGAGTTTTGACTCTTGTTCCGATTTCCGACACCTTAGTCAGTCCGATCGACCTCAGGTAATAACTTTAACAATAATTTAAGTTCCATAAACCTCATTAAATTTTATTTTCTAGCTAGTCTCTACATTCCTACTTTCTTTAATTCGTTGGATCCGTTTTCTGTGGAGACGTTTATTAGCATCATTACGTGTTAGACCAAGAAATTATGCAAATTCAGCTTCCATTTGGGCGGGTATTAATGGAGAATTGGGTAAATAATTTTTAAAATTTATTAATAATTTAATATTAATATTCAGAACAATCTAAAAAGTCTTCCAATTTTGGAACACTTATATTTTGGATAATTGCAATTGGCGGTCCCCTACTTGTTATAAAATATTTTCTTCAACAAATTAGAGAAAGTACTAGTGAATTAACTTCGGATTGGGCTACTGGACAGGCAGAACATTACACGGCACAGGCAAAAATATTTTTATTTTCTAAAACTCCCATTAATTTCTAGGCTCTTTACGATTTTTCCGCTGCAAGCCAAAATGAATTATCCTTTTCAGCATTTGATACGCTTAGAATAGCACCCAAACAAAAGTATGTTTTTCTTTTCTCTTAATCAGAGCTGTCCGCAATAGAAAAATTCTTACGACTGTAGCTACAATTAAATTCTTTAAAATTCATAGTTGCGGACAGTCCTGCTTTTACTAGTTCACAATTTTTTAATTTATTTTAAGGCAACCAGACATTAAAGACTGGCTATTAGCTAGGTAATATTTCTTTTTAATTTTAAAAATTAAAAAAAAACATCTTTCACTCATTTTAGCAATTCTGATGGCTCAAAGATTGGATTAGTACCAATTAATTATATTCGAATTCTCGATCACAATAATAATCCAAATTAATTAAATTTTTATATTTTTCTTCAAATAAATTAAAATTAATACAATAAATAATGTGAGATCATCCCAAGTAATAAAACAATAATTTGGATTTCGAATATAAATTAAAAGAAAAAAGAAAAGTAAAATTAAATTTGTTAAAATTTTTAGATTTCTTTCAGACAATTTTTTGTTTAATAATTTTTGAAAAATTAAATTCTCTTCTTGTAATATAAAAATGAAGACAGCAAACAAACAATTTGCCTATAAAATTGAAATTAATTTTTGTTGGGTAAAGTTAAAGTAAAAAAGTCAAAAAATTAAAGTCTCCTTCAAATTCAAACTTAATTAAAACACATTAAAATTAATAATTTCTATTGTAATATTACCCCAGATGAGAGCTAAAAATTTGGATAGAAAATTGTAACTTATGACGAGAGATACATTAAAAAATATCTTAAATAGACGTAATTGGACGCATTTTATAGTGAGGTCCAACACTTTAATTCGGAAAAAAAAATAATTTTATTTTTAACTTTCTCACCTCAAAATTTGGATCAAACGTCTCTGCTCTCCATTTTCCATATTTTATAAATTTCCATATATAATCTACAACTGAAGGGATTTGAAGAAAACTAAAAAGCACTTGAAGAGTTGCAACAGAAGTGAAAATTAGATTATTTGAATAATTATTTAGTGTCTGAAAAATAATTTTAAAAATAATTTTTCAAATTAAAATTCAAACCATTAAATTTCCAAAAGAATAAAAAGTAGAAAATATTAGTGAAGAATTGTGTGAATAAAAGAAAAAAATTAAAAAAGAAGCAGAAACTAAATGTTTTGCTTTTTTAAATAAATTAAAATATGTTTTGAAAATTTTAGTAGTAATATTTAAAATTGGTCGAAGAATGTTGACACAAATAATGTAAGAAGTTGATAACAAAAATAAATTAAACAAAAGAAGAAAAACCGCGGCAATGGAATCGCTAAAATGAAAAAAATTTGGTTGAAGTTTAATTATTGGCCAAAAAAATTTTTGGTTTGGTTCTTAAGCCCTTTTGGAAAAAATCGAAAAAAACAATATCGGAAAAAACATAAATCGGAAAAAACAATTCCCAATTTTTTGAAAAATTTTAATTTGGAATCCCTTAATTTTTTAGGGATAAAATTGGTAAATCCCTAGAAAATTCAACAGATATCCAATTCAAAAAAAACTTCCTTACATATTCACTCTCAAAATTACAGCCAGCAACAATATAACAAAACCAGCCAAATAATTTGAACATACAAAAAGACTACAAAAAGTTAAAATTAAAATAGAAGAAATTGGGAGAATATGTCGAATCCGTCGAAATCCCTTAAAAAAAATTTATTTAAAAAATATTTAAAAGACCAAACTCTAATCAAAGAAAGTTTAAAATCAAAAGAAAATGAAAGTAAATATTCTTGACATTTATTTGTGTTAATTAATAAAAGTTGAAAGTTTTTGTCTTGATCGCCTTTAGAAGTGTAAATAAAAATAGATGAAGTTAAAGAAGATTTATTGTGTTGTTTAGTAATTGAGGCAATTCTTCTAATTTGGTTATTTACCAACAAAAAAGTATTCGATGGTTTATTTACTGAAAAGAAAATATTTAAAAGTAATATATATTTAATTCAAGGAAGAAAAGGGACATGAATTGAGCTATTTCGTAAAAAAATCGAAGAAGATAAACTTTGATCTAAAGGTTTAAATCAGGAATTGAAAAATAAAACTAAAAATTGAAAGTGGAAATGTCATGAAATTACTTATTATCATTTCCCGCCCCCAATTTTGTCAATAAAAGGGGAGAGGACCCAGGCCAAACGCTCTCAGTTTTGGATCTTGTTTTTGGCCGGGTCCTCTCCCCGACCGGCGCATTTCTTTTTGTATTTTATTTATTTAAATTAATAAACGTTTTAAAGGAGAGGTTTTTGTTTAATTAACCGGGCGGACGCGCTCCGTTGATTGGGTTCGCCCAATCAACGGAGCCCAACGTCCGGCCCTGCCCAAAAATATATTATGGTGCTCCCAGGGCGGTTTTGCTCAACTTCCGCCCAAATTTTTTCTTTCTTGTGTTTTGTGTATAAAAATTTTTTTTATTGGCAGTCATCAATCAAAAATTTACTTTTTCCATCCAATTTACTTTAAATAATTTTTAATTATCGCAAAAAAACGAGTTAACCTAAATTTTAAACTAAAACGCCCAAAAATTACACTTCTTTATAAATAGTTTATCTGCACAATTTTTTTCATTTTTTGCAAACATAATTTTTTTAAATATTTTCTCTCCCTTATTGCGCACATAATTTTCTTCGTGCCCCGTCTTATACCCATCCAGGATTCCAGTCATCGCGTATTTACTCGTGAGCTTCCTCAGAGTTTCCCAAGTCCTCTAATCATTCGTATTACCCAATATCTCCATCTACCGTAGACAAAGAAAAAGCCTGTGTTAGCTTAACAATATTTATTCGAAACAACCATTTTACAAATTAAAATTTTTAAAAGGACGGCGGATCATAGGAAAGTCTTCTTGAGGCTTCTTCCGCATTTCCCTCAGCTTTATCCCAACCAGAAATAAGGTCAGAAAGGCCGAAAAGATTGTCACGCCAAAAATGAGGGGGGACCAAAATTCCTTTCCAGGTGGAGGTGCCTCAAAGAGTCGAGGAGCCTGAAGAGCACAAAATGTTGGTTCCTCCCAATCCGCAATACCAAAACAGTAGAGGGAGCAGTTGTGATAGGGCATGCAGGTTCTTGAAGTAAAAGTGACCTCAGCGAGTCCTAAGAAACCGAAATTAAGAAATAAGGTCCCGATTCATTCATTGGCCACTCAGGAGTCTTAGTCGGCCGCTAAACTTTTGAGTCCCGTTCTGGGCATTTTGCTAGCAATTTCTTTAAATTTAAGGGCCAATTGGAAAGTTTGGGACGGAATAAAAAGATTTTGGAAAAAAAATACTTGCGAGGTTAATTTTAATTCAAAGAAGTTTTCGTCGTCAAAATTTCGGAGTTTGCGGATCTGGAGTCAGAGGGATTTGACACAGCCACAGAGGATTTGGAATCAAAAACACCAAGGGAGGCACGTTATAAAAGGAATCAACAAAGAAAGGCGGAAATGGCAATCGAACTCGAGGGGATCAAGACAAAAATGAGGAGCATTGAGGACATAAACACGGAGAGAGGAGCCTCGGGACTACCTTATCCTAGCTTTTTCAACGGCACAGAGGACTTTTTAACCTATTTGAAGAGGTTCAATAGGGTAGCTACGGCACACGGTTGGCAACCCCCTAGGTGTTGCCAAATATTACCAATATATTTGCGGGGGTCGGCGCTGGCAATTTATGAAGGAATGCCGGAGGAGGAAAAAACGTCCTGGAGGGCTTTGACGGATGGACTAGCTGACCGGCTAAAAAAGGTCTCAACTCGGGAGATGGCAAGGCTAAAAATGATGGAGCGATATCAAAAGCCGGGGGAGTCAGTTGAGGAGTTTGCTCAGGCCCTTAGGTGCTTGGTGGAGCGCGCATATCCGGACTCCTCGCTGGAAGTGGACCTCTCGGGACTGGCACTAAATCCAGACATACGGACTAATGTGAAAGGCCAGCATGAGGAGATGGCAAGGAAATTTAGGGACGAGCAGTGCCGCGATCGGTTTCGGGCGGGGTTGATACCCGAAATCCGAGAAAAAGTGATATTTATGGAGGACCCTGGGACCTTGTCAGAGGCGATTTCACAAGCTAGACGGGTGGAAGAATTGACTGGAGCGATTAAAGAGGACGTTTGGAGGAGAACTAAGGAAATAGAAGTTAAAGCGACGCTGGCGGAAGTCAATGAAATAAGGGCAAATAGAAACCAGGAAAATTGGAAGGGAAGAGAAGGAAATAATTATCAGAATCAAACCCAAAATTTTCGACAGTACTCAAATAGAGGAAATCAATGGGGACAGAGAGGAAATACAGGATGGAACCGAGGAGCTCAAAATCGTTGGCAATCCGGGAACCAGTCTTACCGGGACAATGAAAATTCTAGAAATAATTACCAAAGGGGACGAGGATGGAATAGGAACCCTAATATGATTGACGTACCAAGTTTTCGAGGAAGAGGGACAAGAGGAAGAGGATCGAGTTTTGCCCGGGGTGCCCGCATAAACGAAGTAACCTTTCCCTATATATGTCTGTTTGCCGTCATATTTCTGCCCATAATACAATGCCAATTTCAAATATGCCCTGAAAATTACCCTGAGGGGAGTGGGACTATCATGGATTTTCCAGAAGAGCACAACTGTACGATACCAATGGAGGAAGCACCCAAATTATCGAAAATCAATATTTATGTCCCAATAAGGTTGCCAAAGAAATTCCCAGTTTTTCGGTGCCATCGTTGGAATGTAAGGATGTGTACGGAGTCATATCTAGGAATTTATCGGAAGGAGAAAGATTCAAACATATTTTTTTCAAAAATTTCAAAAGAGGAATGTTGGCACACGTGGGATACTCAGTTATTGCAAAGAAGTGGAGAGAAAGCGTGGCAAACACCGAGCGACTGGCAAAAGGAGTACGCATTTTTCGGAGTAAAGTGTAAAAATGTGACGGGCATAACATTAGAGGAAGGATCGGGAGC